CTCGCTAGTACAAGTGAGAAGGCGGACGTATCAAAATATTTCGGGTGACCGGTTCGTTTCTCAAGTATGTCATTGCCTTTCTCCGCTATCCGAACAATATTTCACGGTATCACGACTTTCCGTCACGAGGGTTTCATTGTCGTAAAGTCATAAGCGCATAGTATTTAACTGTTTTGAACATCCTGGCACAATAATCTTTGAGAAGATAGACAAATTTTTTATTCTAATTCCATTGTGTTATTATCCATGTAACAACAATTAGTTGGTAATTTGTCTAGATTTTATAGAGATGTAAAAAATATTCTTCACCATTCATAATTATTTAAAAACGTTTTTATAATATATCAAGTTTATGTTTTATTCCTTGTAATAATAAATTGTAGGATAAATTGTAATCAATTAGTGTTAAAGAAAGTTTTATGGTAATTATACATTATGCATTTTTTTTTTTTTTTAATAAAACTGGTTTGAAATTGATGAAATTATAAAAATGTCAATTAATCGTATATACAAGATTAATTTTTTACATTAAGGGAATATGTTAAAATATATGTAAAATTATTATATTAAAAGTAAGAATATCATTTATTAAAAATACAATTTAGAAACAAATATTTTTATATAGACATAAAACACATTCACCTCAGTTTTATAAGAAATAACGATTTAATTTAATAAAAAAAAAGAATGATGCATTGTTTTTCTTTTTTTCATAAAATATTAAATTAAATTGTGCATTATTTATTGTACAATTACATTCAGTTAATTTGCCAAATAATTAAGCTTCATTTAATTAATATCTAATTGTAGTTAAATATGAAAAATATGAATATTTCGTTAATTGCAATTATTGTGTATCATTTTAAATAAACGAAGAATTCTCTTAATGATTAAAATTAGAATTAAAAAGTTTTTTTTTTTATTAAGGTAACATTGCATAAGAGTATAATAAAGTGTTATTTAAAATTGTTAAAAGTGGTATGTCAGAAGAAAAATTAATTTTGTCGAAATAGCGTAAATGTATGAGAATTTCAATACGAATTTATGATACAGAAAAAGAATACTTATTTTGGAAATTGCACGTGTGAAAATTGAAATATCAAACAGATTGTCTGCGGAAAGAAGTCACCTGACACTAGTGAAATCATTTCGCAGTCATAGCGAAAGCTTGCGCACAACTTGTTGGTCAACATCATTCTCGTGTGATGTTTAGCTATAGTTCATGACGCGAGTAACAATTTCTCGTCTCATGTACTCACTTACGAAAGACATATCGTTGGCGGAATTTTTCAATTACAGCTAAACCGCGGTAGATAAATTGATGGATTGTTGCATTTTAAATTAAAAATCAATATGATAATATTTTTGAATAGTTACAGCATTTTGTATTTTTCGGTAATTGCATTCTAAAGTGCAAATTAATTTTTGGTTTTCTAACATCACAAGTTTTATGAAATGCTATTTTTTAATATAATGAATTGGAATAAAATGAAAAAATATTCAAACTTTTAATTCTTGACTTATTTATTATTATTTAATTATTCTTATATTGTTTGTATATTTTTTTAGATAATACAAAAAGCAAAACAAATTTTATTTAATATAGATTTAATAAAATAATTTATCATTATTTATGTTGCGTATGTTTCAGAATTTTGCAATAACATTATTTAATGTTAAGTTTTGTTAACCGACAAATATTTTTTATCACGACATTCATGGTCAAATTTTATTTTTCAAATATGTTATTAATAAAACATAATAGATTTATATAATATAAATCGAAATTATTATTTTACTCAAAACACTTACACCGCTTTTTGTTAATAATATGTCATTCATTTATATATTAACAAAAATTTTAATTTTTGAACTTATGTATTTATTGGATTACAAAATTGTAATATTGCAATGACTGAACTAAAGATAGTTCATTATTAGAAAAATTACAACATATAATTAGCTCACAAAGGAATTTGTGGGAAAGACAATTTCTTACTTCAATCGTACTTTGTGTAATATATATCAATGGAATATGCTACAATTTTTTAAATAATTATTTTAATTATTTATCGTTGAAATAACATAGTAAAAATGTTTCTTTTAGATAAACGAAGATAATAATTTGTTATAATATTTATATTATTTTCTGATTATTTAAAAAAAATTCCAGTATATTTCTTTCAAATATGATAAACTAAGTAACGTGTAATACTTACTTAAAATTTTATTTACTCAATCTAATATTGATATACATTATTGATTTATGTGATTGGTATAAAAATTTTTGTTTAATTTTATATTCAAGTTATTCATTCAAATGGTTATTGTTATCTCTATAATTTTCATTATAAAAATATGGTTTAATAAAAATGTGGTTTAAAATAAAAATGTTAAAAAAAAAAACTTCAGTTACGATGAATTTTCTAAATAAAAAATTACAATTAATACAATTGGATAGTTTTATATATTTTTATGAAAAGATAAATAAAAATGTTACGGAAGATTTATAATTTGATTTGGATTATTTTCTGTTATTATGGTAGATAATAGATATAAATAATGTGCAATAGTATTTATTGAAGTATTAATGATTGTTGTGAGGAATTTTTATGAAATTTATGAAATGTCATGAAACAGCGACAATATGTATTTATAAGTGTAAATCAAAATAAAAAAAAAAATAATATTGTAAATGAGATATTGAATTATCCACGAAGACGGTACGTAAATTTGTTTGTACATAATTTCAATAAAGTATTAAATTTGGTAAATTAAGAATAATATTATCTATCGTCTTAAAATGGAGCGTAATTCTTAAGAATGAAAACTTTCCAAAAAAGGCTCCTAAAAATCAGAATAGATCGAAATTTGTTTACAGATGACTGATTTCATCGCTTTCCACCTTTACATCTACGAAGATAATTCTACACTAATTTTATTTATTTCATTATTAAATTGGGCCTTCAGCTTTCAATTTAATGCTACAATTGGGTATGTATAAATTAAAAATATTAAATACAGCTCGTTTAATTTGCATACAATATATATTTTTCGACTTTATATATGAATATATAATATTATTAATTTCGATAATTTAATTTAAGTTAATTTAAGAGATTATAAGTTTATTAATTATTTTATTTGTCTCCATTTAGTTTGCCTTTGAAAGGAAAATTTCATACATTATATTTGATTTATGTGATAAAGAAATATTATAAATTAAAGATACATAGCATTTATATGTTTTTAAAAAATACCGATGATTTTACAGAACGAGTATATAATATTATATTAATTGTTTAATTAAAATATTTAATAAGTGTTTAGATTCAAGCAGAAATCACTGGCACATGTAATCAAGTGAAATGAAAACTGAGGTAAATTGGAGTGAATTACAATATAAACGAGAGTAAACTTGTTTGAATAAATTTTTGATTCGTAATTATCTATAATTATAAATAAAACGACATTTATTTAAAAGTAATGTATAAATTTTTCTAATAATAATACACGTATTTAAATATTTATATTACGATTATATGCATGAAATGTTAACTGTTAATGTTAAAAAAATTAGTGTAATGTTAAATAAATACATGAATTATCTGATTATATATAATATAGGAAAGTGAAGTCGATAAATAATTCTACAATATGAAACAATTCATTAATTTCAATTAATAAAAAAGGAAAAGAAATTACTTTAATTTAATTACTATAATTGCCAGAGAATATCGAATATTTCATCTATAAAAAATAGTACCAGACGGTTTGTTGGAAGAATGTAATATACATAGTTGTTAGTGTACGTGTTCCTTAATATTAGTAATCGTAATCAATATATTTGTAGGTTATTAACTCATAACACATGCGAATATAATCGTAATATCGTTTTATTTTTCGGCATAGTCAAATTTGATTCGATCACAAATCTTTCTTTTGCAAAACTTTTTGAGACAGTTACAATAACGCGAGCGTTGAATGCTTCTGTGCATCTGCATTAACAAATCCCATTATGTTTTCCATTAAAGGAAACGTATCAAATGATTGAGAACTTAAAGCTGATTAGTTCGAAAGCACTAAATGCCGAAATAATAGTGTTAGTATTCGGGCTCATTGGGCATAGCAGTGGAGATGCGAATGAAGCAGATATCATCGCACTATAAGCGAGTACCGCAATCCGTAATCGGCCGAATAGCATTTAGCTTCATTCAGGAAAACAAAGGCTCCTGGCACTCCTGAACAGTGACGCTGACGCGGACGCCGATGCCGACGTTAGTTTCGCACTCGTGTCGGAGCGAGAGTAAAGGAGCCCTGGCTTGATGGCAAAGGGAAAAGGGGGGGGGGGTGCATATCTGCCGAGGAGGAGAGAGAGCCGGAGAGTTCCGTGTACGTGTGTAGGCACATGCAGAGCAAAATGAAACTACAAGCCGCGGAGAAAGTGAGAGAGTCCCCGAGCCGCCGTGAGCGCACCGTCGGAGTCCGCGAGCACGCGGCTCGGCCCCGTAGTAGACTCGTTCTCGCAGCCCACACGGTAGGCGCTGCGCGGTACCAACGGAAAGCCCACCGCGGAAGGAGTCGCTCACCCCGAGAGCAATTCCTTCAGGAGCTTCCCTCTCCCCGTGTCTCT